GTGGCCACGTAATAGTTGCGTTTATAATTTTTTAGTCCACTTGTAGGATGTGTACCCCACAGTGCAGTGGCCGCAGACAGTCTGTGCAGTCACAACAACTGTCCGCACAGAGCCTATGGGCACACCCTCTGATGATGACTCGGACCCTAGCAGACCCTCTCGTACTAACGGATATGAAGGGTGCCCAAACTTTTTCCCTTGGAGGGGCCAAAACTTGGCAGACCACTGGCAAATATCTGCATCTGTATTGTCAAAGGTCCAGTGTGTAGGATTTAGTGGCATCAAGCGGTGAAGTTGCAGATTGCAATTAAATGACACCCACTCGCAAATGAGAACGGCCTGTGAATTTTTTTTAAATCGCTATAAACATCTGGTGGACCAAATTACTCTATTTTGGTCAGCCCTGGTCTATAGCCAGCTCTGTGAGGCTGTGCTAATGCTAACATGTTGATGTTTAGTGGGAAATGCTTACCATCTTAGAATGCTAACATTGATATTTACCACTAAATACAAACTACAACTGAGGATGATGTAATCAACCAAAGTTTGGGGAAAATTTTAATTTTTGACCAAAATCAGTTGGATTCATCCTGCGAGGAACACTTGCCTTTGTTTTGTGCCAGTCAAACAGAGCTGAAACTAAAACTATATATCCACAACCAGATTTCCAATGGGGGCGACAACCACAGGAAGTATTGATGCTTTCTCATCATGAGACTTGTAGACAATAAGACAAAATATTAAATATTGCCAGCCTTATCCTTCAAGGTTGGAGTGAATGGTAGGTCATATGAGACAATCTGGCAGGTCTCCTTCACATCCTCTTCCCGATGATAAGACAATTTGTCATCAGCACATTTGGGATGTGCCGCCTCATTAATTATGTCTTGATTAACTGTGTCACCACTCCCTTCTACTAAAATAAAACACGAAGATTATGAGCAGAGAGGAGAAGTGAACTGAGGTTATATTCAAGCCCTCCTGTTCTCTCAGCTGAAGAGATTCACGGGTGTTTTAGCTTGAAATATGTACATATACGTGTGTACCTTGTGATCCACTCAGCTGTGTTCAGCCAACTCCAAGAATAGCAGCTAAGGCATTTTGATGTTGAGAGGTGGTGCAGGGCCGAGTGTCTGCGTCCTGCGGTCGACACACGCACACACGCACACACACACACACACACACACACACACACACACACACACACAGGAGGAGCATTTCCTCTGCTAAGCTGATAACCATCAGAACACTGAAGGTAGAAAAATTCAAGCTGAAATTGGAACAGCCGAGCTCATGGAGAGGAAATATAATCTACAAGAGTTTCCTGCTGAATCACCACCCCACCACCCCCACCACTTCAGTCGTCCTCTTCCTCCGCTGTCATGTTTGCTGGCACATACATTGTGCAGCTTATCTTCCGTTGCATCTGCGAGGTTCCTTTTTTTAAAAGGATACCTCCTTATCACAGCGAGTGAGTGCCATCCATGTCACTCCGGAACAACTTTAGCTGCCGGCAGGGTAACGTGACTGACAAGTGAATGGCACAGGATGCAGGGTGACTTATTTGCTTTAGCATCCGACTCTATGCAGAATAAACGATACAGTCGGTTGTGTAGGATTAAGTGAGAGTTGACAACTCAAAAGCCTTTGAGCTAAAAGTGATATAATGACAGTAATCCTTTTTTTTTTTTTACTGAATTGATGAAGTAAGGGTGGCTCATTTAGTTTTTGTGTAAGAACGTATTACTGTTTCATCTATAGTCTGCTGTGTTCTGTCTATTGTTACAGTTTGGGTCTGTGTTTCTTGGTTGAGCTAATGTTAACTTGCAGGTAGTGGAAAAAGGTGACAGGCATAAACGCACAGATACGCTGGTACTGATGTTTCCACTATACTCGTCGTTTATTTCTAACACATCAACCTTATCCAGCCCGTTTGTACGCCTACTATTTTATCATACATGAACAAAACAGAAGCCACATGTAGTCCAAAGGTTACTGTTGAGTTGAGAGGCAAAAGGAAAACAGAAACTCAGCAACAGGCATCCATTCACTGCAGGTGTACCGCTCAAATAACTTAAGGTAGGTTAGGCACTGTCTGATGAGGCTTCTCTCTTGCAATACAGTCTCTTAAAGGCACATTTTGGCTGCTACACTATGAAGAACATTTAAAACAAGAGCAGTACACAAAGAGAGTAAAATGTAAGCACACCATCAGCTGCTGCTTCTCCAGCTAACTGCTTTGGCCCAGCAGCCCACTAGGAGTCGCCAAAGCTTTAAGGGGTGTTGCAAGGCCTTCTTGATTTTAAAGGGGGGAAGACAATTATACAACAATACAAAAAAAATATACACAGTATGCCTGTATCTAAGCATTTTATTCTGTCTGTCTGTCAAGTCTGTATGATTGTTAAAAAAATACATAATACAGACAGAGAATTGTAAACAAAGTTCCCTAAACAGGAAATAATCACTTGTTTTCTTTATCTTCTTATCACTTCTCGCAGTTATTGAGTTCTATTTGGATTAATTGTACAGTTTTGAATATAAAATGAAATAAATATAAAATATGTCACTTAAGCAGGGGTCATACAGAATCAAAAGGTTTTGGAAATGAATACATGAAGAGCTAAACAACTTAATCGAATTTTATGCAATAAGTCTGCAACAAATAAACCTAAACTATACCATTTTCTGTCACTGTGTCAAAGAGGTGTGGAGAGAGAAGTTTAATCTGACCCCCATCCTAACAAATCAGTTCTCACATCTGTCCACACTCTGCTGCAACCTTGACATTCCTATATATGCTATAGCCGATTCTAAAAGTATAATTCCAGTTTGTTTTGGGTTTTGTTTTGGTCCATATTACCTGGAGAACCCCAAGGCCACTAATATATTCCATCGATTATTACATATATGTAATGTACCCCATTTGAAAAACAATTTCTCAACCAAGTACCCCCAACCAAAAGCCTATATAAAGGGGAACAATGAAGTGCTGCACCATCAGTGTCTGACTTATGAACAAAAACACTTCCATCCAATCCATCACCAAATTCATGTAAACCATATTTTTGTCAACATGCAGTAACTCAATTCTGGGTGGCAGGGAGGCAGTTTACAGTTAAGAATTGCATCAAAATAGGAATATTTAATATAAAATGTGGTTTATTGCACTTACATACATTTAAATGTTTTTATTGAGCTCATAGTATTATCATTTTAGGTTTTATCCATGATATTTTCAGTACCCCCTGCAGTAATCCAAAGCACCTCTAGGGGTACATGTATCCCCATTTGAGAACCCAATAAGATACACATTAAACTAGGGTAGGTGACTTTGAAAAAACTTGCAGGAGATGGCCAGATTTTTGAAAGTATCCAACCGAAAAGATTCCCCCCCTCCAAAACCACACACAGTGCATAAGAGGAACAAAGCACAGCGTTGTCATCGCTAAGTGTATCCAACTACCTCATGTCTCGTTTGTTCTACATGACACATAGTTCAGAAAAAGAAAGCAGATAATTACTTGTTGAAGAGCCACACCTATGTTGACTCTGCTTTAACCTCATGCTTTAATCCAAACTTTTTGTTCATAGCCTTTCTTTGCTATTTCTGTCTTTCTTTTTTTGCTTTGTTTAGCAGTACGAACAAAAAGATGCTCTTTGCCATTTTTGTGCGACTGCCTCGGTAGCTTTAGCAATATGTGCCTGGCCACTAATGTGGAGGGTAATGCGCATTGAGTGCGGGGGCAGAGTGCACAGAGGTAGGCAGGTCAGCCAGCCAATCATTTCTGGGCTAATTACAGGCCTGTGACTGCTACAGATACCAGATTTTTGGCAGTTTTTTCAGAGCATTTGATTTATAGATTTCTGTCCAGACACTGTTTTGCAATGGTACTGTGACTTAATCCTGGGTTTAGACGACTGTGGTTGTTTTTTTGTTTTTATACCAGAATGATAATGGACTCAGCTAGACCTTTCTCCAGAGCTGACACAGTGTGGAGATCTGGAGGTCTGTCTATGGAAGACTATCTGTAATCTCATAAGGATGCTAGCATGTATTATGAAAAGTTAAAGTAAAATAAAGGACACTGAATGTTTTCTTATTAGCATGCTATTAGTATATCAGCAATGCAATCCAGTATCCCAGAAAATCACCCGTATCACTTCGGGTTGAGAGTCTTTATCATGAATAGGCCTGCAAATATAAATAGGATGAATGTTACCATGGGAACACAGCTAATGCACACCGTGAAAAAACAATCAGTCAATGGGTTCAGGTGTGCACATGTCTCAGGGAAAGAAGCTCCAGATAATATTAGGAGATTCCACATTTAGGTGTTTATAGACTACATAACATGAGTTTAAACATACTGGGTTGAAGGTGTGGTATTAAAATAATACTATATGAATTGGTTAATTACCTTCCATCTCCAGAGATACTGCAACATGTTATCCCTGGAAGTAATAGGTTCAACTGAAAATTGCCATTTTAAATGTGTGTTATAAATGTGTTATAAAACGGAATTTGGTCCAGCACTAATTTATTTATATCAAATAGGTAATTTGTAAGTCCAACACAGCTACAAATAGGTAATGTTTTCTATTTGTCTTGGATCTTTTAAACAGGTGGTTGGACATGTTTGCAATTATCTTTAAGAGCTAGAGAGCCTGAGTTCTTCTGAACTCCTCTGAAAGTGAATTACCACTTTAAATGGACCCAGGCATGTGCAGAAGGCCCTGTTGCACTACCCCCAACACCCCCACCATCACCACCAATACACACACATACACACTCCCTCACAATGAGATCAGCAGAAGGGAATATTTGTGGAGAGTGGCGGGGGATTAATGAGAAGGGGATTAGCAGGTGGGTGGCTCTCTCTCTCCATGTATGTGTGCTTGTGCATGTCTGCATGTGTGTGTTGGCAATGTTAGCCACTTGAGTGTCAGCAGAGCCCTGGGAGGGGAGGGGAGGGTAGTGAGTTTGTCTTGGAGGGACATGGCAAGTAGGAAAAGAGCTGCTGCAGGCCAGACAGAAGCAGAGGATGACTGAGCAGACTGGCATGTACGACGAGTCTGCACTGAGGAGTCCAGCCAGGGTAACGACAGGTCAGACTCTTTAAGCATGCAAAGCAGGGAGTAAAGAGGAGACATTTGGCAACTGGGTGCGGAGCTGTCCAAGGACATCTGCAGTGAAGCTATATTTGTATATCATAAAACTGAAATACTTCTACTTGTTTCAAATGTTTAGATTGTATTTAAAATGTATATATCATGTAGACTACTTCATTTGTATGCTTCTCATATGTACATATATGCATAACTTCAGCTATAGTTGCAACTTTACCTATACAACTAAATTGATCAAATAATCAGTTTTTGAACCCTAATTTCAGAAAAGGTATGTCTACACTGAGTCTTGAAGAAGCTGTTTGACTGTTAATGGTGGAAATGAGGTTAAATAAATAGTAAAGAATTATAAAAAATAATTATAATAATAATTCACTGGGTCATAGTGCAGAAAACAAAAACAAAAAAACTAAACAAAAAAATTAACATTTGCTTTGAAACATGTATTTCTTTTTTAAGTGAGAAAAAAAGTTCACTTTGTATACGACCCCTAACTTCACCCCTAAGTTTCCGTCTAGATTGATGAAAAAAATAGCAACTGAGCAACATCAATCGAGCTTTATCCTGAACTGACCAACATAACTGAAAAGCTCTTTATGACATTGTGCATGCACTTTTTAGTCAGTCCCTAACTTCAGCACCTCAGTCTCCGTTTAGATTGCACAGGCTTTAGCTCACAAAGAAAAAATGATGAACCTCACTGAATGCCTATCAAACCTAAAACTATCTACAGCTCCTGATTTTAGCCTACAGTTAGTTCACAATTTGGGCAATCAGCATCATTGAAAGTCCTGCTGATTTGGCCAACAATCACCTGGATTACTTTGTCATTGAAGAAAAAGTCTGAAGCTATACAAGATCATAAGTTATGACATCTTCTTTCTTTTTTCTAGGAGATCTGCCACCAATATAGTGCCATTCCACTGACTGCAACAGTGTATGTATGATGTCTGTATTTCGATTTGACTGACTTATGACTCTGTGGTGTGACATTTCTGGCAAATTGTGTCCACTGGGTAGGACAGTGGGGGGTATATATAGAAACACTACTGCAACAGTTCAGATGCTGTTATGATAAATTCATATTTGTTTAAATCACTAGTAGCTTACATCACTAGTACATACTAAAAACAAATGATTTGGCTCAACAAAAAAACTTTAACAGTTTTAATCAGTCTTTTTGAGTTATGGCAACTTCTAATTAAATTATGTTCAACCAATGTACTAATTACCACTACAATCAAATTTATTTTTAATTACTACTTAATAATTGGTAGCATAAGCACAAGTTTTCAAGGTTAAGCTACTCATTAAAATTACTTTACCAAGTAGTTTTTCCACATTATTTGTGTCAACACAACCCATCAAAATAATGTTCGCAACTTAAAAGGTTTTTTTAACTAAATAAGTTAGAACTTTTATCCTGCAACCATGCATTTATCTAAGTGGAACAACAGGCCCATTAAATTACTTTGTGTAGTGTATGTAACACAAGAGCTGCCAGATGCTTCTTTATAGGTAACTAGATGTGCTGTATCTATAAACTGTAAGTATGGATGCCATTAGATTTTTTTTAGACGAGCTCACAGATTTCTGCACATGGAGGTGCAAAACTCAAAACTGAAGCTACCTAGATACGAAATCAGGCAGAGGGGAACAAACAGAAAATAAAGTGGGGCTGGAGTCGTCTGAAATGCGAAGACCAAATAATGAGGCCAACACCAGTGGTGTTTGCTGCTCTTGGCTGGACGGCCTCTGTTTGTCTTAGTGTCGGGGGGCAAAGAGAGCCGACAGCCGAATGGAATTCTAGGAAACACCAAACAAACCTATATTAAATTTCCTCTGAAATTCCGTGGGGAGAGCCGTGGAGCATGCATGGCAGAGGAGGATGGACAGAGGAGTGGACAGCGGAGGTATGGAGACCCAAGCAGAGGAGGGAGGGTGTGGAGAAGGCGCACTGTGGAGAGAGAGAAGGGTGGGTGGAATAAAAGGGGAAGTGGGAGTGAAAGGAATAGGGAGATGAGGAGAGAAAGAGATGCTTGCTGTAGGGTGGAAATGGGAAAGAGAGGGTAATGGAGAGTGCCAGGTCAAGCCGGAGGTAAAGGAGAAGAGGAAGTAACAGTGGCCATAGTAGGTCATAAGAAAACGGGTTTAGAGAGTCTGCCCTCAAATTCTTCAAGGACCCTCCTTTGAAGTAAATTAAAAAATGCAGAGTAGAGGGTAACATCTGTGTGAGGCGTGGATACACAGTGTGTGACGACACGGGGGACACGGAATGACCACCGCTCAGTGTAGGGATAGCGATGTGAGCGGCCGTGCTGCCGGTCATCAGAACTGAGCAGCCATGAGCAGCTACCATCTGTTTCTCTGCTGGAAAGACAGGCAGTCTGGTGGAGCTATGACTCGAGAAGCATGTTAATGCCCCTTAGAGAGATTGTCTGTGGGGGTACCTAGCGTCTCTCCTACGAGGGGTTTTGGGGGGAGTCATAGTTGTAGCCCTGTTACTCTGCCACTTCTTTTATAGTGTTTAAGTTAACAATCCTGTTTGTCAGATTTGAATATCTAGTGAAGCTGACTATAGAACAGTTACCAGCGAGCCCATGTGTTGTGTTTACTGCCACAGAGGAGAAAAACATCCGTTAAAGCTACATTACCTAGCCAGGCTAAATTTGCATAAAAACAAAGGTTAAAGGGTAAAAAATAAAGCATTATTTGAACAATGACATAAATAAAACTATAGTTTATAACTCACAGATTAACTCTCCTGCTCAGAATCTGATCCCTCTCAGTGTGACATTTCAAAATAAGAGTGGGTCATGATCTTGCAAGGTGGTCGGCCATGCCTTCACCAGTCTGCTTTTATTGAACTTCAGCAACAACTAACTTCCTGTCTGCACTGGGAGTGGGAATGTAACATAGTGTGAAGGACTGATGGAGCTGGAGGAAAATGACAGACTTTAGTCTCCAGCAGTCTGAAAAACATTGACCGCTATTTACCCAGCAGCGCTAAGTAGATCAGTTCTCTACCCACACTGCACAAGGATCAGCTGACCACGTTACTGCTGTAATCGTTATAGTTAATGGTCAATCTGTTTGTTATGAGCTTATAACAATATCATATAATACCAGAAGTCATCATGTACTGCAACAAGCTAGTTGAGCTAGTTGTAAGTGAGTTAACAATGTAGGTAACTTTGCACCAAAGATGGTCTTTTTTAATCTGAGGTCTGCAGTGGATGTGGTGATGTAATGTCATATGAACCCCTCATAAACGTGGATGTGTGTTCCCAGCATTGAGAATAGGTTGTGTGAAGTGATCAAGACCAAGACTTTTTACTGTAAAGCTGGCGATACCGTAGTATTGTTTTATTCAATGTGAGCCAAGTAGAGTAGTAAACAGAGGTTCAGTGAACAAAAAAGTGTAGTTTAGTGTACTTAGGAGGGGGAGGAAGACAGAGAAGACAAAGCTACACCAGACTGCAAGGAATACACAAAGATGTGTACACACTTATTTGAGAGACCAAAACAAATGGTATTGGGTCTGTTTTAAACGGGGACATAACTCTCTTCAGCTATCAAAAACACAAAACTGCAGGTGCATCAACAACAACCCCCTGAGGACAACGTTTGACAAACCAGAGCTACAGCCTGTGAGCCAGATCGAGGTCTGCTTTGAGGTACTAAAGCCTCTCTCCCTCTCTCTCTCTCTCTCCCTCTCTCTGTCTCTCTCTCTCTCTCTCTCTCTCTCTCGGCTGAAGGGACATCTGGAGCGCATTAAGGCACTAAGGACATTGGATCTCCCCAGAGCGCCTGACTGGATGGGTGGCCCACTGTATCCCCCTTTCAGCAGCAGGGCCCAGCCCTACCTGATTGATAGAGGGAGCCCCACATGAACACTTAACGCTCACACACACACACACACACACACACACACACACTGACAAATCCCACACGGTTGACATACAGCACGGACCATTGTAACACTGCTGCTGCTGCTAACAAGGATTAGTATGGACACGTGTACTTCCACCTTTCACCGTGTAAAGTTTGGCCTATCAATCATGCATTGGGTCCTTGATATACTTAATGTGCTGTACATTCCTACCATGTTAACCCACATATTACACATGAATTACGCAGGGGCAGAGCAGGGGTGGCTTCAGGTTTCAGCCCTGAATGTTTTCTCAAAAGTCCAGAATCTTTTAGGCTGTTAAAATAACTTCAACTTTGTGTCATATCCCCTCGGTCTCTCTGACCGGACCACAGCAAAAGTTCTATCACTGGGGAAATATCACCAGCTAAACTAGCTATTCAGCCATTTCTGCTGTGAACTCTACTCTTGCCCTTCCTAAGTCCCGCCCCTTTTTGCTTTGTGCTCCAATAACAGTTGAGCCTTGGTCAGAACCTCAGTCAATCTCCTCCTTTCCTGTACTTAGATACGCTATGTGCTGGGCTCGTCTCTGTTGAAAAGATAAACTCATTTTGAACATATTCATGAGATAAAAGCCACATATATACTGTTAGCTAACTAGCTTGCTAATCCACACCAACGTTAGCTAGCTAGTTAGGTAGAGTTTTGACTAACGTTAGCTATTAGAGGTAACTAGCGAGTTAGCTAACTTAGGATGTGACTTTATACTGTAAATGTTGCTTTTATCTTTACATCATCTTCAGAATTTGGTTGTCTTAGCGTCCAATGCATTACATTTACCTCGGAAGTCTGACGTCGGAGATGGGAATGTCATCACACCTCAGTTGGCCACGGTCGCGTACAAGACGGAAAACCAAGCTCTAGCCATTAGCCATTAATAGCAATACCAGTTGATAACAACACTTTTCACTGTACTTTGCTCATACCAACATGTCCGCACACAGAAGTTGGACAGTCCATTCTTATGATAGTAGGAGAGGAGAAAGTTGACCGAGGTTCTTTCTCAAATAATGTACAGACTGTAAGGCATTCTATTATCTCAACTGGCTTGATATACAGTATATCTGTCGTAAATGGGAAAAAAACATGCTCCCAGACACCCCGAGGTTTGAGCTAATGTTCATAAAGTCTGCCTCCGCCCCTGGAATTTAGAGCTAGCATACTGCCTCTGTTGTCATCAATAAACACAAACTGGCATGGTTTGAATGTAAGTAAGAACTCCGGACATATGGAAGTAATATGGGAATATGAATACAACTCTGAACTTCATTGACAACATGCAATTTCCTCAGTGTCTGAAGATTTCCAAAGCATTCCCCAACACCTCATTCACACAAATGAAGATGGGAATCAAAGCCCATCTTGTTTCTCAGAATTGTACTTTTTCATTAAAGCGTGGAATAGACTTTTCTTTATGATTTCTTTTTCTGCAGATGCTCCCCATGCAATGGGAAAACACAAACTTTTTCAAAGGAGGAAAGTTCAAAGAACCTCCTCATTTCCAGTAAATTGCTTTGCCTGATTTGCCATTTCAAATAAATTGCCGTGTTGGCCAAAATTTGCAATTCACAGGAAGTCGTCCCCTCAGCCGCACAGAAGAAGTTAATCCATATTTCACGTTTGAATATAAGATGGAAGCAGAGAAAAAAGGGGAAGGAAAGGGGAGATAGGTAACTCCTTGCCAGGAGATGAGGAGCGGAAAAGGAGGGGTGGCGGGAGAAGCTGTGGGAGTGGAGAAAAGGCGAGAGAATGGGAAGAAACAGGCGCCATTTAGAGTAAATGGCATCCAAAAACCCTCTCCAATTATCTTTGCCTACCATGCCAGTGAGACTGACTTAATTAAAACGACTTGAGAGGGAGGGGAGAGAGGAAGGAACTGCCAGTGATTGAGGGGGCAGGCAGGCGACGTATCTGCACCGAAACACAAAGCTCAGGCATCGCACAGGCTGCCGACCACTCTCCCTTTTCAATTCCCGACTTCAAAAGAGAATAAAGAAATAATAATAAAAAAGAGAGGGGGCTCTCACCATTCGCAGCCATGTAATTGCGCTATTTAATTCCTACATTTTTATCATTGTTGGAATATTGGTTGGGGGGGAAAGAGGAATGTATAAAAATGGATAATAAAACAGCTTTTTTTTTGTTCTTGTCTGACTCCCCCCCCCCATAATCCTTCTGCCTTTTTCTGAGAAAAAACCTCTGACAGTGACCTTTTCGCATGAGGTCTGTTTCTATGGAAACCACGTCCTGCCCCTCTATGTTTGGTGTTTTCCTGTCATCGGGTGGGCAAAACTGGCCCACTTGTGACTAAGAGGAAGAATGCATCACATTTAAAGATTTGTGTGTTTCTTTTATTTCATGTTTCCACTCGTGTGTATCTGCAGTCCTGGGCAGAGGCAGAAAAAGCTGTAAAGATGGGAAATTTTGCAGACAATATGACCTTTGGCAACATGATTTCTGTTTTTGACTTGTGCACTAGATTGCAGAAAAAATAAACCTCAAAGCATCAACTCACCTGAGTCAATTTCAAGATGCAGCTGAGGTATTTAACGTTTTAGAGGTTAGTAACTACCAGATTTGTTCAAAATTAATTCTAAATCATTAACCAATGGCTTATCGAGTATTATTTCTGCAGTACTTATTTTTGTCATTTATTTTTTTATTTTAGCATCTAAGTTGGTGTCTCAATGAGAACTCTCATTTTTATTTTGAAATATATTGTACATCAAATATTTTAAAGCCCTCTCCTGACATGCTTTAAGATAATAAATATGTCTGATATTAAACCACAACAAAGTTAAATTACAAAATTCTTAAAAGGGACATGTAGTCCTACCCTATCCCCTAACCCTCATAGCTGAACACCAGGTGTCTCCTACTTCATTCTAAAGTCCATTCTTGGTGTTCAAGTTTCCACATCACACTTATTTAGGTTGCATACTGGACCATGATTGGCTTCCAAATTGTTTGTGATGTGAAATCCTGCAGGTACATCTAGGAGTTAAACTGAGATTTAAGGAAAACTTTCCACTTTCAGCAGATTAATGTGAAAACATCCTTCTAGTGTCAAACTCTGCACATACATCACATCAAACATCACACTGTAGCAACTATCAGAAAAACATTTTCTGAGTGAATATTTTTTTCATGATGTATGCTTTATCTCAATTTATCAGTCAATTTATCTCAATTTATCAATCAAATTAATACGCAAGAATGATGAGAAAGATACATTTAGGCTTTTATTTTGAAAAGCCGCTGCAAATCCTATTACATATATATATATATTATAATCCTTATTATTCTTCTACTGCCCAGTAGAAGACTCACACAGATTTTGAAGAGTTCAATTATTGTTTGGACATACAAGGTTTCCGCCTGAGATAAAGAACAATAACAATCTTTCAATCCAGTTTATCAAGTATCACAAATACCACAGCATTACAGGCATTATCCTACAATATTATATCACAGGAGGTTAAAAACTACCATAAAGTGCAATAAGGTTCAGGTGTTAATGAATGTTTAAAATATGTGCATAAATTTACAAGTAAGTACGAGCACAGAGCCGATTTAGATTCAAAATGTTCTACTTTCCAAATAGTTTTATAACTCACTCTCTTTTATAAAAACATCTGAGCACATTTAAATTCAGTTTGCATCAAACTAAGTGCCCATGACTATAAAAAAAAAAACCTCCATAAACACACACACATTCACACTCAAAGACACACACTTCTGACACCTTGATCAGCCAATACACAGTAGCCGCTCATGTGTCACAGCTAACACCTGTTACTGTGCTTTTGTCTTATGAGCTTATTGTAATAGACTGTACAGTATTTCTCACTGAAGACGACACAAACTGAGGCTTGTTTCATCGAATGTGTTTGCACAGAAGGTTGGTGGGCGCTATAATTTCAAGTTTAAGTGTGAGAATACACTGTATAGGATAATTGCCAGGAGCGAGGAACCACTGTATCAATATACATTGGCTGGAAAGAGTAGGCAAAGGCAGCTTGGATATAAATCAGAACCCAGCAATGCTTAAAACTTGAAATGACCTGCTGGTGCATTTACGTAAAAGTTAATGTATTTTTAAGCCGTAGCAAAAAATTACATTATTTTGGTAGGTAGAAGAAGAACATTTTTACTTTTTAAACTGTATATAACTAATTTAAGGTTTTAAAATAGTATTGCATTTGATTAGACACTGATAGGTTTGGGGTCTGAAGGTGAAAGAGAGAGTCTCAGTGTGTCTGTGTGTGAGACAGAGAGAGAGGAAGGAGGGTTGAGTTAGCATGACAACCGCTATTTTGATGGGGCCAAAGCCAAGTATCTCCACATATCCACTTTCCCTCTCCTATTCATCCCCACGTCCTCCCTGCTTTTCCATCTCCAGAGCCCTCCCTCTCCTCCTCTCTCCTCTCCATCCCCCATCTCTTTTCTCATTCTCACCATTGCTCTCTTCTTTCTTCCTAAACTCACGTTCTCCTCTTTTCACCAATCCTTCCTCACCCCCCACCCCCACCTCCCACTTTCCCTTTTTCCTTTTTTCCCCCCTTTCTCAAAGTCTTGCCCTGCTCTGGGAGCTTCACATTCCCTCGTGTTGAGCTTAGAGAGTAGTTAGAGAAAAAAGAGGGAGAGACGGAATATTAATCGTCTCACTGTGGTTTGAATGTGGTTGTTTGTTGGGTTTTTTTGGTGGGGCAATGACACTTTGTGCGCTGTGCTGGCTACATCCCATATTATATCAGGGAGACAGTCCATGCCAATAGTCTCTGAATTGAAAGCGATACAGATAAAGTGAGGATCGACTCCTTACCCTTAACCCCCGGTACTCTGCTTCTCACTGGCCAGTTTGTTCGCTCACACACACACACACATACTGACACACACACACACACACACACACACACACACACACACACACACACACACACACACACACACACACACACACACACACACACACACACACACACACACACACACACACACACACACACACACACACACACACACAGTCTCTGCTCCAGTTGCCAGGGAGACCGCCATACCAGGGCTCTGACCCAGGAGGTTTGGGACTGTTTTTCAACCCCCCCAAAAAAAAAAAGCAGGAGAGATGGCAGCTGTAGGACAGCTGTTCCTACCAGGCCCAAGCCTTTAACCACAACCATCATCCCACCATCAGTGCAGCTTTTTTGGGGACAAAAACACCCCGCAGCCCAAATGATTAGACACATCTGCCTTACTTAGTGGATTCTTGGGAAGAGTCTGTGGAAAAGAACAGGAGACAGATTCCGGACAGTGCGATAAAGACCTGAGTTTACCATTTATTTCAGTATGCTTTCAGCTGCCGACCAGCTAATGGGCTGCTTTCGTTTCTTCTATGTACACAATCACGTTAGACTTGTTTCCTTTGTTAGCTTTAGCAACTTAACAATACCATACTAAATCTAACATTATAGCGCAGCTGAATATGGATCTATCAGGCTGATGCAGATATTATAATATATTATTAATATTGATTGAAACATATTTAGACAAGCTTGCCTGTTCAAGTCTGGCTTAATGCTGATGGTATCTTATTCTTGGTATTTTAAAACATATCTATATCTATTTTATAACATATGGTATGATCGTTTTTTTGGTTTAATTGTATATGATGGATTTGTCTTACTTTTTTGCCTGAATGGGCCTTTATATAGGAGCCTCTATAGGTTTATAGTGACTTATTCAACTGTCACGAGTACATATAATATGTAGTGACATCATGTATATACCGAAGGCTTTGTCCCACAAAATGATACAATATATGAAGGAATCAGAATGTAAACAATTTAATTGTGCAAACTGCAGTATAGTGAAAAAAGAACTTAAGCATAAAAAATATAACACTGCTACCTTTTCAAAACAAAATATTTTAAAATAGGTGTATAAACACTATAAACTGACTGAAAAATACTTAGTGTTTCAGTATTCAAGGAGATATTTCTAAAATGTTATATTGCTCAAGAAATAAATTGTCACGATTTTTATGTGCCATAGTGTTTTACCCTGTTCTAGGCATCTAGTGGTGAAGTTGCAGATTGCAACCAACTGAATAAAGCTCGCCTTCGAAGCCTGTAAGACAAACTACAGCGCCATAAAACTAGCAAAAAACATTAAAGGCCCAATCTAGAGCCTGTGTTTGGTTTGTCTGTTCTGGGCTACTGTAGAAACATGGGGGTTCAACATGGCGGACTCCATGGAAAGGTGTCTGTAGATAAAAACGTCTCATTCTAATGAATATTATATTTAATTTCTGACAAAAGATTCTCCTAAATGTTACACACTGGACCTTTAAAGATAGTAAGTTGTGGGGTATTAATTATTGTGTTAGGAAATTATAACTGTTAGTAAGAAGGGTACACAGTTAACAGGGTTCTCCTCTCAATACCCTGCTCCAACCGTAGTGCTCAATAGGCAGCAAAAACAATGGCTGCCTATTGAATAGTTACAGCAGTTGTTTAAGCTATGCACCAGCATGACACTAAATGAAAAATTCATATCATACAGGAAATTAAAACTGGTATACCGGTTCATCTGGTATATCACCCACAACTTCTAAAAAGTAAATAGGTTACACGCGTTGACAGATTAACGTTAAATCTTTGTTTGTAATTTCAATGATTTATGACAATAAAAAAAACTGAAATAAACAAATAAGTCTTGTAGTGTTTATAAGCATGTCTTTCAGGTGAAGAACTGCTAGTAAAATTGTTATTGTTAAAACTTTTATTTAGCAATTTTTGCTCAGTGCCATATGTATGTATGCACTTGTTTGAATTTAAATTCACATTGTATATCATATAACCAGTGCCTCAGTTGGACCAAAAAAAAGGTGCCAGTACCCTAATTCAGCACAACCCTAACCCAAAACACAAATAACCCTAATTATTTTAGGACATTTTCAGTGCTGTTTTCTTAGCCTGAAGTTGTGTTTACACGCTGTTATACAAGCGTTTAGGAGTACCTCATCAGTATTGCCATATGCAGGGTTTTAGAGATACCAAGGTCCAATAACTGAAGTTGTTTATTTTATTTATTTATTCATTTTTTATTTAACTTGCAAGGGGGTTTGCAGGTTTTAGAGAATTATTTTACCTTTTATTGTATACAGGCAAACAGGTATGATGTTCATACCTCAGTGACCTCAGTGCCATGCTTACCAGAGGGGAGGGCACTCAATAACAAAAATCAGAAGTGCCGGCACTCAGTACGGGTGAGTACTGGTCCATTTCAGGCATTGCATATAAACATCTGGTTTGGAGAATATAAGGTTAAAAAACACTGCCATGCTTAGCTATAGAAATGTTGATTGGGTTGGTGGGGTGTCGTCCTGTCTGGCTGACAGTCCAATGTTGTCCAATTTTATAGCTTCAGTAAATGCATATTCACATTTTCATTACATGGTAATTGAATGGCATCTTGACAGCACACCACTATCAACACTGATGATCTTTGTGGTAGTTTGGACATATACAGCTTTAGATACATTGCTTTGTGGTTTTACTTGTGAGGTAATTGATTTCTTTTAGCTAATTATAACATCAGAATGC